AAATTCGCGCCCTACCCCCCCCCCCCCCCCCCCCCCCCCGCGCGCGCGCATGCGTTTCTAGTGCACCGTTTCAACTCGCTGAGCCCCACCGGGGCGACTCAAGGGCGGAGGGAAAACTGAGGCGTGTTATCTAACCGCCAACACATCGGCAAATCAAACAGTAAAGATCTGCCGTGTCCCATACACACACGTCGAGCGAAAGCTGCTTTCGAATGAGCCTATTTTTCTTTCGTCTTGACAAGGAAGAGGAAGAACTTCGTCCAGACTTGTATCGTGGCGGGCGCACCTTGTACTCCACGCCATACTCCATGGGCAGCAGCCGCGGGTTCCGCTCGTTTAGGCCCGAGTTCTGGCACAGCTCGTAGGCCTCCGACAGGCTGGACTGTGCGATGGACGTCTGGATGGGCACTCCGAGCTTGCCGATGAGGGCACCCACGACTCTCCTGCGGCACCCGAACCAAACAAACCGAGACAAACAACAACACAGGAACAATAAAAACGAGTTGAGTATCACGCGCGCGGTGTGTGTGGCCGCTATCCAACCACCACGAAAAAAAAAGATATGGAAAAGAAAACGCGCGTACAAGTAGTACGTTCAAGCGGGGGGCAGCGTGTGTTTTTCGTCGTCACCCAACAGCCACGAAAAAAGAACAAAATAAACAATCAAATGAAAACGGATTAGTTTCACGTGTGGTCGGTGTGTGCCGTCATCATTGATGAGGAAGCGAAAGAGGAAGGCAAGGAGGGGGTACGTGGGGTTGGAAAGGGATTGAGGGGGGAGGTACCCACAGATACGCATGCCGTGGCGCTTTTTCTGCTCACTTCGCATTCCTCCTAAAGCGGGGAGTGGTTTACAACCTGTTGCTGATTCCAAAAACCACAAGGACGTTGACGGTGGCATGAGTGCAATGCTTTGGTGGGAGGGTTGCATTCCTGTGCCCGCCGAAAAAACAAAGAGCACATCGACAGAATTTCCGTGATGCCACAAAAAACGCCACGTTCATACGTAGGAATCGTTGTAAGCACCATGGGCAAGGAGAAGCGATTACGCACGCCAAGCACACCGGTCACGGCCGTACGAACGATGAACTGCCAGAGCACTCACTGCCTCGCACGCCTAGGGTGCTACGGACGTGCATACTGAGACCCGTATGTCTCTTCTCTGTCTGTCTGTCTGTCTCTGTCTCTGTTTCTGTCTCTGTCTGTCTGTCTGTCTGTCTGTCTCTGTTTCTGTCTCTGTCTGTCTGTCTGTCTGTCTGTCTGTCTGTCTCTGTCTCTGCCTATCTCTCTCTGTTCTCTCTCGGGATGTCTCTCTTGTCGCACACCTCGTACTCCTATTACACGAGAAACATCAAAGAGGAGTCGGTGGGACCTTGATTTGCTTGTAGTCATGGCATCATGCCTCACTCACCCCATGCTCCCGATGCCCTCCATGTCCATGGGGGTGTAGTCCGCCCCCTTGGCCTCCTCGTCGCCCCCGGACAAGTCGTACTGGCGACGGCGATTCGGATCGGATAACACCTGCACTCCGGTTTCGGACAAAAAAACGCAACCACAGAAAGAGCAACATCCACAGCATTGGACAGGAGGGGGGGGGGGGGGGTGTTGCCAAAGACGAAAGCATGCTCATGACAAGCCGTCATTGATGTCACCAAATGCCGAACAGAAGCTGCAGCGGCAGCATATCAAACAATCTGAAGTGGACGACAGAATCAAGAGCAGGCGTCAGCATGAGCCAAGCCACAGATGGTTCGTGTGATCAAATAGCACCACCAAGAGCAACAAACGGACACCGAAGAGAGGCCAGCAGTTCGGCAATGCAAGGCAGCGGTGATGGCAACACCATTGTCCCAACAGAGTCTGCGGGGGGGCGGTAACACAAGAGGACGTGTGTACAATGTCGCCGCGCTTTGGGTTACGCTTGGTCCGGTTCGGACTTCCAACACAGCCGCCTTGAAAAAAGGCATGCAGACTGCTGGAACAAACAACAGCAAAGCAACAGCAAAGCAACAGCAAAGCAACAGCAACAGCATGTGTGGAGGTAACCTGTAACAAGGGTCACATCTTGCCAACATCTATTCGTCGAGAACGATCCCCTCTTGTCACACAAGTGTTGCTGTGAGGTATCTGACTTCGGTGGCACGAAAGACCCTAGAGATGTGGCTCTCTTCTTCAGGGCCATCTACACGAATGGGACACAACATGCCCATGTTCAAAACAGAGCGAGCCATGCGGTTCTACATGATGCGCCTCCTCTTGACCGGGGGGGGGTGTTATATACCGTCATACCATGCTGCCGCCATCGGTTCGGGTTGGACCGCACAGCAAAGCCTCTGTGTTGTTGGTGTGTTGTTGTTTTCACATTGAAAAAACGTTCCGATTTCTCCACCCAGTACCTTCATCTCTCCGTACTGATCAAACTCTTGACCGATCGATTCCCGTGGTCACAGGTTAACTTACCCAGTAGACTTCGAAGGTATTTTGCTTTGCGTCGTTTGTTTCGTTTCGGGGACGAAGGTTTTGGTACTGTCGTTTGTCACGCTCTGACCCAACACGAAAGTTGTAGCGTTACCAAGAAATCAATTAAGTACGCTCTATGAAGCACACATGCAGTCTAGTCTCCCTGCTTGCGTGATAAACCCATGTATGTATGCACGTACCGCGTAGGCGGTGGCGATCTCCTTGAACTTTTCCGCGGCCTCCAGGTCCCCGCGGGTGCGGTCGGGGTGGTACTTCATCGCCAGCTTCTTGTAGGCGGTGTTGATCTCCTTCTCCGTTGCAGTTTTCGACACCTGAGAGTATTGTTGTTGTTGTTGTTGTTGTCAAACTTGGGAGATGCGTTGATGGGGGGTCAATCGAAAGCATCACAAGGCTGGGGTATGATCTCGAACGATTGATCGTGTGCTGTGTTCTCGAAAGACCACTGGCAATGATTGGGGATGGGAATCCCTCCGAAAGAGTGGCGGGGGGATTGATTCATCGGAGGGGAGTGGCGGAGTGTTGGGCGGAGGTGCTACAAGCAGCAGTAAGTTTGAGTTTCCAAAGCACGTTGCATCGTTGCACAATTTGCACATCGCATGGCAAGTCCATGCCGCATTGCGGATGGGAGCACCACAAATTGCTGCTATTTACATGCATATGGTCAGAAAGAGGTACCTTCTCAGCAGGACAAACACAGTAGTGCGAGTGAGGTCCATGCTGTACCACGTACATGACCTGCCAAAAACTACCGCCTTTTTAGTGCCGCGTATGCAGACTTTCTACGCCTAGTGCAACTGCTGTGGAATGCTCGTGGTATCTCTGCCGGGCGCGGGGGTTGTGACGAGCAGGAAATAGGAACGCGTATAACATGTTGACGACCAAGCCAACACGCATTTTAGTCTTCATGGTCGTCTCTCTCACACCTCTCTTCTCGCGCCCGTTTCCCGCTCGTTCTAAATACTAAATATCGCATCATTGAACCACCCACAGCTGGGCTAACATGTAGCTATGAGTATTACAATGTTCCCCACCTTCGGATAAAATAACGAGTTCGCGTGCACGTCGCCGACTACACCCTCGAACAATTCGTGCAATCCGCACAACCTTGCCCGAGACGGCAAAGCTCCAAAAGCTAAGTAAACTCCTCTCTGTTGTTCCACGAGGCGGCGGCGGGATTTGATTGCTGCTACGAACTCTCGAAGACTACAATACTCCTGCTGTGAGATAGAATAACTTCGTAGGCAGAGCCGACTCACCCCTAGAAGGACGTAGAAGTCCACCTGAGGATCATTCTCGAGAGGTTGAGCAGGGGTTGCCATGGTTAACCGCTGCTTGAGGTGCTGCTGAGTCCCGGTCTGCTGGGAGGTCCTGTGTGATTGCCTGTGAGGGGGAGGGACCGCGTGGACCGGAGCTCCGCGGATTTCAATACCCCCCCCCCGGTCACACTTGGTGTTATGCAGAATATGGGAGGCCAGCTCGTTGCAAAAACGGTTTCATCTTCGCATCTTCGCTTTGTGTGTTGCTGTTGCTGTTTGTGTGTCGAGGATTCCTACACAAGCAGTACACAACGTACACCACACTGCTGCCCGCCTCCCGCCCACAGGGCGCTGACGTTTAGCCACGACACCGGGAGGAAAGAAGGGTGGATTGGACCACCAGCTTGTAACACTTCTGATAATCTGATAATTAATGCCCGTCGCTATTCAAAGCGGATACAAATCTCGAATGGGTAGTCTTTCTGTGTGTGTTTTTATGTTTTTATTTATTCCTTAATACATCGTCCAACACCAACGTACACGCCATTTTGCCGCTCGCGGCGGTGTCTGTCAAACTTAATACTACCAGACCATACGTGTGCGGGGAGCAGGAATTCAACACCTACTTCTACATCAGCAGTCTGTGCGGCCTATTTTGCATCCGAACGCCTTAGCGCTCAGTCTTTGCTCTCTTGATTCCTCCATATTAATTGAATTGTAATTGAATTGGAACGTTGGCGGCGAGAAGATGATGCAAGAGACTTGCCTTTTGCATGGCACCTGTTTTCGCGGCAGACACCGCCCCCCTAGTCATCAACGCGTGTGCGCGCCATAGCAGGTGCGAAAAAAAGTGGAGAGAAGGCTGCTGAGTCTCTCGGGCAAATCAATTCCGAAACGGGCTGTTCTGGAAATTGACAAATCGCGAGGCGCGAACGCAAGACGCCTCGGACGAAAAGAAGAAACGCCCGTCCAAAACGAAACGAACAAGAAAAAGGGACCAAGATTCCATCAATTCAACATTCTGAACGTACATACGTCCAGTGCCCGTGCGCTTCTGGGAGAACAGGCCGTGCCAGTTCCCACCCGCTTGTGCGTGCTCAACAAGCGCAGCGGTAGGGTTATATTGCGGAAACACCTCTCTCTCTCTCTCTCTCTCTCTCTCTCTCTCTCTCTCTCTCTCTCCTTTATGTCTCTCTCTCTACCCTCTCTTGTTCTTTCTCAAATTAATTGAATCACAACAAAGCACAGAAATGCCACAACACACACCGACTGACTGAGACTGGCATCATCTTCTGATCGGTCAGGCCCATCATTGCGGTCGATGCTAAGATAAAAAGAAACACACACACAACCCACAAACCAGGAAGCGTTCTTGATTTCGTCGTCCCACTCTTGGGTGTCAGTCGACGCTAACCTACAAACCAAAACACATAACTTTTTATAGCGACAGTTCCAGGCGGACAGTTCCAGGCGCAGAGGTCGCAACCGAAAGACGTGCCGCAGTCGAAAGATGTGCCGCCTCTCCTCTCACGGCACCGACGGGATCCAGCACCCGACCACAGCGATGTCCTTCTCCCGCGCCCGCTCCATGCCCTTCGCCAGCCGCAGGTTACGCAGCCGCTGCTTCTTCCTCGGGGACGTGATAGGCGCGACCTCGCCTCCCTCTTCCTCTTCCTCTTCCATCCCCTCTCCCCCCGCCCCCGCTCCGCTGCCGCTGCTGCCGCCACCGCCACGGCCTTCTCCTCGGCTCGCGGCGTCCACAGCTTTCCGCTGTCGTGAGTCGTCGCCGCCGCCGCCGCCGCCGCCGTTTCCGGCGGCGCCAACACCGGCGTCGTCGCTGGGACTTCCCTCCTGGCTGAGGAAAAACCCTCCCCCGAGGTGTTGTTCGTCTGCCGCTCTGCCTCCCCCGTTGCTGCCGTCTGCGGGGACCCCGGGTGATGACGGACTACCGGCATCGGTTGGGGTCGCTGCTGGGGTTGCTGCTGCTGCTGCTGCTGCTGCTGCTGTTGTGGCCGCCGCGTCTCCCGTCATCATGTCTTGGATGAGGCTCTCGAGGATCACCACGGCCGCACGCTTGTCGATGATCTGTGCATATTTCGTCGTTGGGGGGGGGGGGGTCGTTGGCATACAAGTTCGCTATAAAAGGTACACGATTCGGCACTTCTCCCGTTCGTCCACACGCGTTTCATCCACACCGACGAGCAAATACAATGTAGACACGGCGGGGAGAGGGGGGGAGGGGGGGCTCCGGCGAACATGACACCAGCCGGGGGTTGATGCAACCAACCCTCGTTTCCGGCCGTGTTTTCAACGCATGGTTTTGTTTGGTGTGGTTCCGCGTGATGCTCCCGGCGTGCATGTGGCGGTGATAGACATGAAACACGAAAACAAGAACAGCACATGACCGATGGAGTGAGCAGGGACAAAAAAAAGCGTGTGCTCTCCAGGTTGGCTTGTGCTCTAACCTGAGGCGCACACTTTTTTATCACAGGAATAAACCAAAGATCATCAGAGGCTAAAACGAAGAAAATAGCAGACTTCATAACAAGGTTGACTGCCAGAGTTCTTCACAAATATCATCAGAGGGTAACACGCAAAAAAAAAACGTACGTGCTTCCAGGTGTGAGTACCAGGGTTGACAAGGGCAGCCGGAAGGGCCGAGCACAACGGACATCTGCAAGAGGCATGTCCCCCGGCTACAACAAAGGTGATGGCCGCCGCAGCAGCGACTCACCGCGTTGTAGCCAGTGCAGCCGTGGTCGTGAATGCACGCCAGGCACCCGTCGGGGCAGGGGCAGCCCTCCACCAGCTCCAGGGCCTTGCTAAGCACACCTCTGATCCGCAAAGGAAGCGTGACGAACGATTCGGCGAAAATCACGATTACGCGGGAAGGGGGAGGATATGAGCCAGGAAGCTGCAGCGTGCGCGCTCGCAAGCGCGTGGGGGGGGGGCGGGGGGGGGGGGGGTTTACCCCTAATAAGTACCACATGTTTTCTCCCCTTTTGTGGCGGTGGGTTTGTATGACTTCCCCAAACCCACCTTGTCGGTTGGTTTTATAAACCGGGAAGCCGGGGGGTTTTTATTGAAAGGCCAAACCAAACAACCCGGCCGGCCCCCCCCCAAAAAAAAAAACCAATTTTTTTTCGCCCAAAAAA